TATGGCAGACGTATACTAATGACTGACTTCATTAGCCGCTCAACTTGTCATCCTTTAGATCTTATTGTCGCGAATCAAATCATTTTCTAATCACAATTCATTCACCAAATTATCTTAAATATCATCACTTTCTAAAGAATTCATTTATTACTCAACTATGGAATCGGAATTTTAAATGATAGATAATTTGAAAATAATTCCTCAGAAACTTTTGATATTCTTTTATATAGTAATGTAATGTATTCTTTATATTATATAATAAACTACTAGAAATATAATAAATGATCTACTAAATAAGTATTTTTGTAAAGCTAATTCATTAGAAACGCACTATAAATATAGTTGTATAAAAATTCAATTGAAAATATTTTTGTACTTAATTAAATAATTGAATGCAACTTAAATAAAATTATATAAAATGTCAAAACATCATAAATGCTTTACATACAAATATATGTAAGTATAGTATTATATTATAAGAATTTTATTTTATGCAATTTAAAATTTTTAAATAATATTATAAGCCTATAATAAAAGCGTTTAGAAATGCATTCTGGTATAACTTTTTGGATATTATATTGATTTGTCATACCAGTACTGTTATATTAATATAGTACTTATATAAGTAATAACTGCATTAGAAAATAATAAATTTGATGTTAAATTATATAAAATCATAAAAGTACATGATGTTCAATATGGAAATAACCAAAAGAAAAAGATTTATAGAATTATATTCAATTTTGTATTTATATGAGTGTGGAAATATTTATTTAGAAATTATTATACAATATTAGTTTAATCTAACAGTTCTGTTTATATAATTTTTAATTTTATTAAATACTTGTAGACAATAAAAGCAGCAGGATAATTGGTGTTTGTATTATTCTCCATTATTTGGTGTACAGTATTGATATTAACTAATGTAAGGGTAAAGTGTAATGAAATGCTTACCTGAACCCTAACTTCTGGAAGATTGACTTTAATGGCCAGTTCTTCACGACTAAAGACAAAATAATATTATAATGAAAAATGAGATGCGAGTGAATGTGTGCGAGTGTGTAAATTAGTAAATAATTGAATGTAAACCTATAGACGTCAGGATAGTGTGACTTTTCAAAAGCTCTCTCGAGTTCATGCAATTGGTATGTCGTAAAAGTGGTGCGATTTCTGCGATGCTTTTTCTTAGGGCCGTCATCGGGAGCGCCAATACTTCCACTATTGTCCTCATCTATTGATAGCGGAGATGAGGGAATGGTATGGATTGATATAGCGTTGCAATCTGTGGTCTCGTCGTCGTTGTTGTCATCAATTGGCTGTTCATCGCCTGAAAGACGTGGAAAGCATTACAACAAAAGCTTGTTATGGAAGTGAATGGAGTGAATGGCATCTAATCGGCAATTTGTCTGCTTTTGAAGCGTTGGCCGCAGTGTCTAATTAGGCGGTTTGGGACCTATTATTGAGCTTTCAATTGAAAAGTTTTGAGTTGGAGTTGGAGTTGGAGATGGAGTTCACCAAAAAGTGATTACAGGGCGTAACCCAACTTATATTGAAAAGAGGAACCGTAGGGGTCTTTGGCTAACTAAATAAGCACTCGTTTATATGTAAGGCGTTTGGGATAACCTGTCCGTACGGCACAGTACGACACAACCACTCACTCCGCTTAACATAAGTTACTTTTACAAACTTCTTATAATAGACTCTCTTTTTTATGTCAATAATAGAACTTATTTTGTGAGACAAGCTATACATGCAATATATGGCATATTGCGGACAATTGTGACAATTTTGTTACAACTACTATACCATTACAATAACGCACCGAACACACCAAACATGCCGTTCCACCGATACTACCCTACACTACCATATACTGTACACCACTGTACGCGTACACTACCGCACAATACTATCACTGCAGGCGTTTATAATGAAAGCGGCAATAATTTGAGGCACTGTAAGCACACTGTAAGCAATGGTGTGTCAATTGTATAGCGAAGGGCACTGTTGGCACTGTTATGCACTGTAAGCACTGCTTATTTACAGATTATCTCCTATTCTCTTCTGAACGCTACTCTGCATCTCAAAGGATATGTCGCTATAGATGACCATCACATGAGCCAAACAGTCGCCAATATATGCCAATACTGTTAGTTAGTTAGTCCTCAATAATAACACACAAACGCCTCTCAATTAAGACTAAGTTTATAGTCTGGCATTCATTGCAATACTAAGCCTATCATCAAAAGAAATCTTTTGCCAATATATGCCAATACTGTTAGTTAGTTAGTCCTCAATAATAACACACAAACGCCTCTCAATTAAGACTAAGTTTATAGTCTGGCATTCATTGCAATACTAAGCCTATCATCAAAAGAAATCTTTATGAGAGTTAGAGCTAACAATCGATGGGAGAACAGCTCTGAACAATAATTCTCTAAATATTTCTTATAAAACATATCTTATATCTGCTTTCAATTCTTCAGCATTCATTGCTTTCACAATTATATTATATGCAAGAATTCTTTGCAGTATAAGAATGCATTCATTACACTATATCTTATATTGATATGAAAAATGTTTGTTTTATAATCGCATTACTATTACCCGATAATTCAGATTCATTTGAAATGAAATTTATTAATATAATCAAAGCGAGCAGTCATTGATCACAAATACAATAAGATATGACTTATTAGTACCTAATTCATAAAATTAAGGTTTTATGTCATTTCATAATAAGTTATGATATAATTGAGGTCAGCATTAATAGCCGGCTGCCAATATATGCCAATACTGTTAGTTAGTTAGTCCTCAATAATAACACACAAACGCCTCTCAATTAAGACTAAGTTTATAGTCTGGCATTCATTGCAATACTAAGCCTATCATCAAAAGAAATCTTTTATGAGAGTTAGAGCTAACAATCGATGGGAGAACAGCTCTGAACAATAATTCTCTAAATTTTTCTTATAAAACATATCTTATATCTGCTTTCAATTCTTCAGCATTCATTGCTGCAACAATTATGTTATATACAAGAATTCTTTGCAGTGTAACAATGCATTCATTACACTATATCTTATATTGATATGAAAAAATGTTTGTTTTATAATCGCATTACTATTACCCGATAATTCAGATTCATTTCAAATGAAATTTATTAATATAATGAAAGCGAGCAGTCATTGATCACAAATACAATAAGATATGACTTATTAGTACCTAATTCATAAAATTAAGGTTTTATGTCATTTCATAATAAGTTATGATATAATTGAGGTCAGCATTAATAGCCGGCTCTCAGGCTATTAGCCCTTTAGTCGAGATTATGAAATGCAATCACAAGCGATTGAAATTGTCATTTAAATAATGAACAAAAACTCCAATCCATTTGTATATCACTACCAGTTTTGGTCATTCAGTCGGAAATTAACGTTTTTGATGCTTTCAACCAATCATTTGTCACACTCTTTGACGTTACGCTCATTTATATGCATTATATTTGTTGGGAGAGAGAGAGAGAGAAGGAGGGAGAGGGAGAGAGTGAGTGAGAGAGAGAGAGAGAGATAAACGAATCATATATTCACGGGACGACATAACTAACTACCAAACTCTGAACGAATATTTACTTAAGCCGTTCACATGATATACTGAACTGATAAAAGTGGTGCATTCAGACCATTCATACTATCATTTATTTAGTAATTAATTGACGTTCAAATACAAGAGCGTGATTTGATTAAGTGATTTACTCGCCATTAGCCTAATTGTAGTGCTTTTCTATTTTTTATGATTAAATATCAAATTATAAACGAATAGTGAATTGATTATGAAAATATACTTAATATTCGTGAAACAACTTTGCATTTGAGAATTAGTCATAAAAATGGAAAATAATTTCTCAAATTGTGATTTGTTGTAACTATTGGTCACAAATTAAAAGGCCTGAGCGCTCTGGGATTAATCAAATCAAAAGTAATCAAAGTATTGCAACTCATTCGCTATATTTTGCATTTAAATTGCATTTAATGCAAAACATTTATGTTAAATGATTAAATCAAACGCACAGAATTAACTCCATACACTTATGAAACAAATATTTAAATAAAATTATTGTTTTGCAATAAAATAGCTTTTACGAAATCAGTAATGAATCACATTTACCTGATTTACTATTAGATCCGATGGATTCACACGACCGCTCCGTACTGTTTGCCTCAATGTTGGCATCAATTGAATAGCATTTGTTTCGCATAGAGTGAGAGCCTCTAAGTCCTAGGATGGCATCGATGGTGTGTTTAGTGCCGGGAATGGACTTCACCGATACGTATGAAGATGAAGGACATGGGATGTGAGAAAGACGCGAGATATGCATTCTGTCTCCGCATAGATTCAAACTTTGTTTTGCAACACATTTTTGATTCATTTCTAGTGGAGAGCATTTAGAAGCCAAGAGTTTGTGTTGAACTTCGTTAATGAGATCATTATTTGCATCCATTCCTCCTCCTCTTCCACTTTCCATTTGAAAATAGTTTATTAACATTAAAATAGAGTTAATATGCGTTTGTTTGCAATTACCTGTAATTATGAAACATATTTTTCATATAATAATGGGCAAAAAGATTATGTCTTACTTGATGTTAGATGAGATTCTTTGCATTGAATTCATTGAAGTGGTGTATAATATAATGTTTAGAGAATTTGTGGGCAAAACAGATAAATAGATTTAATTAGAAGCGATTGGAGTGAAGGGATGCGACCGTTGGGAGCATTGAGAGCATTGGGAGCATTGAATACATTGAATATATTGATGGTTAGTATCCTTTTATGATTAGTGTGAATGAGAGGCGATGTAGTGTTGTTGGGATTATTGAGAGCCCAAAGCGTTTTAGTTAACAATAGCCAACATTTGAAGCTTTGCTATACTTTTGAGCAAAATTATCATAAGAGGACTCTATTGGTTATAAGAGACTGACAGTCGCAATAAAATGTTGGTTTTTAGTGACTCCTCACTCGCACCCAATGGTAACTACACTTAAGAGCAAAACTAGAGTCGAAAATAAACACAAAATAGTTTGAGATATAAATCGATTAAACGAAACGCTTTCATCTGAAGCCACTTCTTCTCGAAAATATAATACAATTTATTTCTATTTTTAAGCAACAAATCAGCGCTTAATTAAATTCAATGCTTTTCTACCTATTAGTGCCTCACTGTTCAAGTGTTCACAGCATTCACTACATGTTATCCAATCTATTAGTTTTATAATTGATTTTCTCTTATGGATTAATGTGTTCACAAAATCCATTCTTTGCTTTATATTATATATTATCAAATATATTAAAAACGATGAGTCAGTTCACACATGAATATAAATTCAATCAAAAACAATAAAATGCGAGTTTAAACACATCTGCAATCGTTTGCAAACTTTTGATTTAAACGCCAAATTATCACAAAATATTTATGAATATTATTAATACAGAAAACATTTATTTTGTCAAATATTCTTTCATAATTTGTTGCAAACATATGTATTGAAGTTTATTTTAATTAAATTAATGATTATTTTTGTTTTTTAATCTTTTGCAACTTTTACAATAAAATTCTATAAATAATTGATTTTAAAACTTAATTTCATTATTTTCTACATTTAAAATAAAAATATATCCAGATTGTTTTATAAAGCATATAAAATTTAAAATATAAGGTTTGCAAACACTTAGTATTTATACAAATTAAAATATGATATTAATTTTATAATAACATAAAGCATAGAATTGCATAGAAATATAGATGATAAAATGTTATATTTTTAATAATTATTAAACAAATTTACTGTAAATAACTTAAAATAATTATCCGTATATTTAAAAAAAAGTAAATTTAATGATTGATTTATTAAAAAATAGTTTATAGACTAATACAACGTTTAAGTATTTTGTTTATTAGAGCAAAGGTAAATTTAAATACAGTAATATATAATATTCAATTATATTATAATGCTGCATGTCCATGTACAATTTACAGTATATATAATTGCATATTCAACATTATATTTAAGAAATTATTATCCAACATTGACAAAGCAACAAATATACTTTAATTGAATTTTTGATTATTTTAGTTCACCCTGATAATTTTGTTTAATTAAATACTTTTAATTGGTACCTAAAAATTATAAATGAATTTATTGGAAACAATAACACAAAATGCTTCAAAATAATAATGTTTTTAAACTTTAATTGTTAATTGTCGGTAAATAAGATTCAATTCTCATAGATCTATTTAATCTAATTTAATTTAATCTAATAGATGGGAATCCAATTAAAGATTTAAAATAATAATACTTAAAACCATTTATACATTAATAGCATCTATTAAAGTGAAGACAACAGAATAATTTATATATAAGAAAAACCACAAATTATAGAGTTTGTTGGAGTGTACAGAGTATTCATTAATATAATATACATTTGAGTATAAGTTGTGATTAACTGCAGTACAATACAGTATTCTATAATCATATAGCAATAAATGTAAGCTATTTGTGACAAACAATTGTTTGTTTTTTGGCAAAATATGGCAAAACCAACATTTAGTGTATGACTAGAAGTATAGTACAGTAGAGACTAATTTGTGCAAAAAAGCGTGAAATGCGTCAGAATATTGTCATTAGAGAAGGCATTGAAACACATTAACAAAACTTAATTAAGTGAATATTTTAGATATGAAATCATAGCCCCGGCTATTAAAGATGCAAAGCGTGCGCTCGTATTGATTATAACAATAGATTAATTAGTTTGCAGTTTGAATACAATGAATATATTGTCAAAACAAAGCTCTAATACTGTGTTCTCTCTTGTGTAACCTTTTTAGCTATAAATGCATTCAATTTTCAGATATTCTTCAATCAAATCTGATTGCTTTGAATCGTTTAGAAGGATATCATTTTGAATAATCAAATTCATATGTAATTAACTTAAGTACACATATAATTAGTTTAAATCATCAAAACTAATCATTTCACCCATTATTTCACTACATTAAATATTCCATAATTTACTTTTTTATAACAAATAATCTCTCAAATCTTCTTTTATTGATATTATCATTGTATCTTATGTTACTATTACTGGCACAACAAACTACTTATATTGCAAACAATTTTCTAGTAAACAATTTATTTATAGTTTCAATTAATTATATTATTTTTAATTTAGATAGAAATTAGGTATCGTAATAAATGCTCTAATTTCTATTTCTTTAATTAAAATGTTAATATTCAAAATTTATAATTTTTCAATAATATTCACTATTAACAAGAAATACGGAATAAATAGTATAATTTAAAAATGTACTGAATTCAGTATACGGTATTAAATTAATTTGATATATTATAGAAATCAAGAATAACATGAGTACACAGAATAATATGAGTCAGTTTGGATAAAAACAGTGCAATAGATTTGAGTAAACTAGATGCAACTGAAGTTTCATAATATGGCAGAAATTGTCAAAATAAAATGTCAACTATTTTTTGTAGTTCCCAAATGGGAATACAGATTGTAAGAATGGGAACAACTCATTAGTGAATGCCTGCAAATGTAATGCATTAACAATAGGAGACATAAATTTAGTTAAACTCTTCCAATGCCTTCCATTCAAATGAAGTGTTTCTTAATTGACTAAATCGGATGAGAAGTAAAGCAATGCGATTACCAAAGGATTAATGTTTTGATTCTCTACTTTTACAGTCTTCTCGTTAGCGATATTACAGACTCTCTCTCTCTCTCTCTCTCTCTCTCTCTCTCTTTCTCTCTCCACATAAACATATGTTTATACGACAGCACATACTTCTAATAAACTTAGTACTACACTATTAATAATAGAACGGTCTTAATGATAGGACATCCCTTGACAGGGGGTTAGCATAACTTTGTTACATAATAAGAAAATTCTATTAATACAAATTTAATATTTTTTTTATTGTATTAATTATCATTAACAAAGCAATTCTCTCATAATTACTATGCAATTATAACCAGGTATATGGAAGTATACTTTGAGTTAATTGGAGTTATCAAAGAACAAAGTTTGATACAAACCTATTTCCAAACACAATATGTGTTGAAACGAGAATTTACATTAATTGAATGATCATTATTTGACTGAAAAGACAAATAAAATTCAATATTATTTTGTGTGCACAATATGTGAGTTGTGAGTGAGTGAGTGAATGAGTGAGTGAGTGTGTGTGAGAGAGAGAGAGAGATATGTGAATTTAAACTTCAGTTATTGTTAGGAAAGGCATAAAAGGTGGGCCAATACTAAACTGAATGACCCGTACTATAGATATTGATCGCAATGAATGAAATAACGCACGAATTGTTTCGGATGAGTGAATGACTCAAACGAAACTAAAGTTTCAAATGTTGATTGTGTTTGAGTTTATTATGAATCGGAAATGAATATAAGGTTTAAATATGCGAATCGCGTGCTTTCGGTCGACAAACACTACTGATTAGCGTTAACTCAATCCCTATCCAACTGTACAGCTGTTGTGCGCTTTATTAACTCCAAGTGTTCATCACTTAATTATTAAGTGTTTCTCTAAATTGTACCTGTATATCTCTTTTATATCATATTTAATTTACGCTTAACGAAGATTTACAGTATTTGAAATACATCATAATATAATTAATGAGAAGTACTGTATAGCCCTTCTATGTCATAGAATCTATGATACAGTATAAAGAATATTATATATTAGTAGATATTGATAGATGTATTAGTATTATTGAAAATTGTTAAAAAGTAACTGTTGAAGACAACTATAAGAATTGACTGTCAATTTGAAAATTAAAATAATTAAAATATTTTTGTAATACATGTATTAATATATAGTACAAATCTAAATAATTTTGCTTGATTACATTCTTATACTGTATCATTTTTCAATGAATGGAATATATCCTATACTTAATGCAAAATATGTTTAACATACAAAAGAAGAAATGTTTGTATTAACAAGATAAGTTACTTATAATTTTAATTTTATTAAATTTAATAAAAGACTATTATATTAATTAATTATAATGTAAAAATAAGAATATTCATTAAATTACTTTTATTAGGAATCACTAATTACTTATAATTCAGTTTATTTTAGACTTTTATGGTTTAAAAAGGAAAATAGTGTCAATACATGTCAGTAATGAATTGTAATTTTGAATTTTATTTATCAAATGATAAATCAATTATAAGCCACTAATTGGAAAAGAATAGATTGATATTATTATAATTAAATAATCAAAGAGTTGTAATTTGTCAAAACACTCGTAACATTTGAATGAATCCCACAATTGAAAGACTATGAGAGAAATCTATTGGCAGGAGTTTGAAAACTTTTAGGTATTCTATCATTATATGATATGAGCCAGGGAAAGCCAGACTACTGTATGTAAAGTCCAAATGCAATTATATTACTATGAACTACAATGAACTATAGTTAACACATTGATCAGTATTAATATTTTATTACATTTTAATTAATTTAAAAGTTCATTTTTAAATAGGTTAATTATATAATCTCTGTTTTCAGTAGCAATATATTTTATTATATTGACCAATGAGTTACCTAAAATTCATAGCATTTGGACTTGTCATAGTATGGTTTCCCTTGCTCATATGATCATAAAGTGTTTTCAAAATAAAGATTCTTTTAATTATAGCAAAACATTTCTTGAATATTCCAAAACAGTTACATTTGATTACATATTATAAGTTTTATATAGTCTATTAAAAAAAGAAAAATTTTAATATAAAATTAAATTAAAAACAGTATAGCTGTATAAATAGCTTAAAATAAATCAAGTTTGTCAGTACATTCATTATTATTCTAACGTAAATTATAAATTTATAAATACGGTAAAATTTCTAACGTTAAATGAGCTTAACATTCATTTTAAAAATATTTATTGAATAGTCTAAACCATTTTGCTTATTTTACGATTGTAACATACGTTTTGACAAAAATAGTTGTTAAACATTTCATATTTTAACAGTTAAAGCTATTTCAAAACTATTAAAAATATTTTTTTATTACGGTAAAACATATTTGAATTTTTTTATTTCATTAAAAACAAAACCACACAATTTAAAACAATACATAAATGTACCGTATATTAAATACACTTTGATGAACGAATTGAAATGATCAGGTAGAAATTCTGTTATTAAAAGACAACAATATTACATAAACCGTAAAAATCAGATTAAATTATTTATTAAATTCTTTGTTCAGTAATTGCATAAACAATTTGTAATAAATCTCAAAAACTAATATAAAACTAAATAGCGTATATAATTAGGTAATAATTCTCAGATATGTTAACAATTTATTAAAATTAGATTCACTTTAAATTCAATATAAAATGAGATATAGCTTATATATCTTATGGTAATTTATGAATATTGATGTGGTCTTGGAATTTGTCCAAATCGTGCAATTGGTTCCACCACTCAAACAGAAAGTTCTCAATCATTAGCCGAAACCATGGCGTCACCTGATTTCCCTTCAATTCTTCATTTTCTGTACAAAACAATTGAAGTTATGTTTATAATCAATAAAAACATGAAAATAAGATCAAAAACTGACTCAAAAACGACATCATATTGTCTTTGGAGACGTAATGACAGAACTTGACTTCGTTGGGGTCGGGGTTTAGGGGGACGTCCTTCTGGATGACGAGCGCGTAATCGATCTCATGTTCGCCCCAAAGGCCACCGGAAGGCGCTTTGTATAGGAATCTCGTCATGTATTTGATGTCTTCGAGTGGAATCTTGAGCGAATCGATTCCCAGTTCAGTCTGTAGTCTCCTCTGCGCGGCTCTCTTCACTCCGATGGCATTCTTCTCATCCCTTTCCAACTCGTTATACAACGGATGACTACAACAGGTATTCGTGAAATACGAGGGGAAAGTGATTTTGGCGTCAGATCTCTGGGTTAACAGGAGTTCACCAGAACTGTTGAACAGCATTACACTGAATGCCCGATGGATTAGACCCTTATCTATGTTAGCCATGAGATGACAGTCTTTCTTAGACTTAGCCTCTAATGGCACGTCATTGTCATCGACTACAATACACTGTTCGTCCAGCAGTTGCACCTGTTTTGGGTCCAATTGGGACATACAGTCGGCCAGTGCTTGCGATTGCGATGACATCATACGACCACCGATTGCTCCAGTCTTCAGACAACCAACTGATCCAACAAACCTTTCGTACAAACGACTCAAACCTCTGTTCAAATATAACACTTATTAATAGCAATTCACAGGCATTTGACGGCAAATGTTATACAAATGCAAATCATTTGCAGCTTTTTATGACGTGAAGGACGTATTGAACGGAAATGTGTTTAAAATTAGTATCAAATGACACGATATTTAACACAATTTACATTCAATTCAGTACTTCATTGCAAACATACTTGCAGTCTATGAGCACTCGGTTTGCCATTTGTGTGCCTCTTATCATACAATCCATTACTCAATGCTTTTAACACTTATATTATGTCTATATTTGGCGCAAATTTCACACTTTATTTAAACCATTCATTCAAATACTGAAATACACTTCAAATGTATCATTCATTTACTAATTGTATTGCATTTCAATTACACCTCATTTTACACTAACTGTCCGTTTGAAGCATACGTTCACTACAATCATCTAAAAATGAGTTTTTATTATCAAAAGTCAATTCAAATGTATTTAATTTGCAAATATATCTAGTAGGCATTATAATAATTATTAGTTAGATATATTAATATAACCACATCAATCAACTAGCATCATTTACTTACTGTTATTTACCATAATACTAAAATAGACTATGATATTATAAATACATTCACAAAATACGTACAAATATGCCACCTTTTATGCCCCCATTTGTAACACTTATAAAGTTTATAAACTAAATACTAATACAATAGATGACAGTGTAGTGTAAACGTGATGTTTGAATGTTTCCCAACAAGTTTTGCCATTTAGATTGAATTTAATTAAAATACTATAATATGATTAAAATGATGGTATAATCTAAACAATTATGAACCGCATTATATCACATATTAGATAAAATAGTTAAAAAAGATTTGACACAAAGTTTATAGTAATTAATACATATAACCTTGTTAACCATAACTTTCCGTTTTTAACTATTGTTTTAATTACCGGGAATTATATCAATATATCATTAATTATAAATACAACATATTTTGTACCAATTTTGACACTACTTTGCTATAATTGCCGAAAATACTTATTTTATTAATATATCCCCAAAAACGAGGTTTCATGAGTTCTTTGAACATAGAAAGGTGTTTTCATGATACTTCCCTTTCATTTTCTTAATTTTATAAATTTATAATTCTAATCTAACTTATCCAGAATAGATTTCATTAATACACTGTAATTAACAAAAATATTAGTAATTTTTTTGTAATTTTTAATTACTTCAGCTTTGGTATAACGGTTTGAGTCTCGAAAACGAAATCTTTCAAATTTTATACATAAGACAACTTGAAAGATAACAAGGATTGACAGGCAATTCGATGCATAGCCGCGAGTTTACAATACTATATAAATATAAAATTACAATTGAAATTATTTTGAATATTTCATAGCAATATCATAAGGAGGAAATTGGGAGGACAAAATTCTTTTAAAATGTATATTTTCTATAAATTTTAACACGGCCTGGTCATATTATAAATATAAAATTACAATTGAAATTATTTTGAATATTTCATAGCAATATCATAAGGAGGAAATTGGGAGGACAAAAAAGAAAATTTTACATATAAAAGATATTTAAAATTGTGCCGGACCAGTATGGTATTAAATTTGTCTTGATGTTAAGGAATGTTTTTTGATAAATAACAGGAGGATTGTCAACAAATTAATTAAATTTTATATGTTTTTATAATCGCAAGTAATTTTAATGAATTTTGTAAATTAACTGAAAATTAAGTGAATATTTGCAATATGTTTACAATAATCTCTGAGAGGACATTACATTAGACTGTTTTTTAAAGGACCGATAGGAGGACAGTTGGCAACCCTACTTATAATATAAAAAGGCTTATATAAATATGAAAATTAATAAATAAATCAAATCATCAATTAAACTATAAGTATTATAGATATTATTTGATTACTAGGTTATTAGATATTACTAACATGCTTAAATGTGTTTAAGTAGTTATAATAACTTATAAACATCTCATTTTTGAACATAATATGTTATATTGTATTATTTTATATTATAAAGTAACTTTTATATAATGTATTTTTAAATTTTCAGACTCTGATCTATAGATACATAAATTATATACCCATTAAATGAATTTATATCATATTAAATGACTTGATTGTAATTATAAAATTTCTCAAAATTTTAAACCTTTTGCAATCATATAGTCATATATTGTTATAGTAGTTGTATAACTTATAATACGAATTAAAGTAAATAAGCATAGTCACTATAATATTTTTCAACTTACTTTACAAAATAACTATAAACTTTGCGAAACTATACTACAAACTTTTTATTATGTTTGTAACTATTCTGCGCTGTTTACCTGTTTACGATTTTGTACTCCAGGAGTAATAGATGATCCTGCACAATTGTATACATTATCGCGTATAATACATAAAACTAGAATTCTGGTTGGGTCTGAATGGTGTCGGGTTAGTCTGAATGGGACCGATAGGGATGCCATGGGTTGACATGGGACTCATGCCTGAGCTCATTGGCCACCGACTGTCGTGTGAGGGACCGAACGAACACAAGCCGTCGGTCGACGACCCCATTGAGCCAAACGGTGGTAACGTATGCGACGGCAATAGAGAGCCACGACTTGTCGTCTTCTTCCTCTTCTTCCATTTGGCTCTGAATTCAATTCATATATTAATTTCATTTCAATTCATCCTTTTATGTCATTCACAGTAAATATACCTTCGATTTTGGAACCAAACCTGAAATGAACGGTAAATGTTGTAAATGTTTGAAATTAAATTTAAATTTATTTTTAAGTATTGCTTATAATATACGGTTTAATACACATTACACATGCCTCTATATTTATTAACTTATAAGAATAAAATTTCATTTAAATCACATTAGTTTGCATTTGAAAGTTCATCCAATTAAATGAGATTGCACTGTATTCTCATGCATATTAATATTTAATATAATACTATAAATAACATATTCATATTTTCATTTTTATTGCAACATACATCTATATACCCCTTTATATGTTTTTTATAAATTATAGAAATTATTATTCAAATGCGATAAGATGAAAATAGTTAAGAATTTCTAGTATAGATCTTGTTTAAAAAGAACTTATTATTTATAAACAATTATCCGGGCAGAATTTGAATAAAAACCCCTCACAGCAATGCATCTATTTTTTGACTAAATATTAAAACAGTTCATTAGGTTTACGGCATATTTATGACTAATATTTTGATGTTAGTTACACGGAGTCCTTAGATTGTAATTTCCGGCAGTTATTTAGTAATAATCATTTATGAGATATAGGAATCAATGGTATCGGAGCTATCAGTGCTAACAGAGCTAACAGTGCATTGAATGTTGAATGTTGTGCAGGAATTATAGCATAATATGAAAGCAATCTTTTTGTTGCCTTCACTGCCAATGTATAGCCTCTATGGGACGGATTACTTTTTAATGGGACAGCAAAACCACATTAATATCAAATGTACATTCGTTGTCAGTGTAGCACTACGGCTAGTCCCTCGACGCCATTCCCTCTCACAAGTCAGTGTTGGTGAGCACCACCACTACCAGCATTAGCACTGGTAGTTTTATCTGTGTGGCAGGCATTGCGAAGCGATGAGAGATTGCGGCACAATATCTCACATATTGCTATTATAACACATTTGATACACACAACAGACAGAAGGTATGACTTTTAGGGCTCAACTAAACACTATATACTGAAAGAGCAGCAAAAGTGATGCATAGATGAGGGAAGTGAGCAAAAAAGAGAGCACAGCATCACTGCATCAATAGCTCCCATAGAATAGAAGCCTTGCAGTGATATATATTAGAAACGGCATACGATTCCTGTGCTCTGATGCCAATATTCTGTACTGTTGAAAATACTAGCTTTTGAATAATTTATACACTATGGCTCATAATAATACTGACAAATATAAAGGCCTTTCTATGAACACCAGAGCACTACTGCATCGCATTGTTTGAAATACAGCTCCCGGAGGATACCCTAAAACATAATACTGTAAACACTTATTAAGCATGGGAAAGGCTTGTTTTGAAATGCATACTTTATATGAAATAATGCATATGATATGTTCCCTTCAAACGCATAAAACAATAGTAAATAAAAAGTGTGTTCACCTTAATATAGTATATGTGTAATGTTAGTTTTGATATTATTGGCGGTGCACTTGATAGCCACCGGTGACCCTCACCCAAACACATATTTTCAAAATCAATGCATACAATTTTGCAAACTTTTTGCCATTACTTATAAATCAACATTTTAAACCTTAACTTTAAATATTTATTGTAATCCAGAATCAACAAAATGTAGACTAAAATGTTCAGGAATAAAATTTTTATACAATATAAGTATTCATAAGTGTCAATATGGTTTTACCCTGGTCATAAATTTTGTTTAAAATCGCGAACACATAATATTAAATGGACATAAATATACCTATATTAAAATTCCATTTTTCATGAACATTCTAGTATTAATTTTTGATTATTGATTACAATAAATATTTAAAATACCAGGGTAACGAGCCAAAGCACTAGTTTAATGCACACACACACTGCTCATATATGCTTATAAGTTATAATTTTGAAGATTACTATTAATAATACAGTACAGTACTGTATTATTTGTTGGCCTTTATAGTTATTTATACTGTAAAATTTAGTTAATATTTGAATATGGAAAGTGAGACAATGTATAGAAAATGAGATAATGATTGAAATGAATGAAAGAATAGAACAATAATATGATTGAGATTAAGATTAAGATCAGTAAAACTTAAACTCAAATTGAAATAAAAAAATAGTTCTTTTGGTTATAATTGAGTGAAAAGCGCGGCATTTATTTCAGTGAAGGCAGCAATAAATAGGGAGCCAGTGGTGAGTCTGAGACTGAGCCCACACACAACGAGATGTTTAAGACAAACGCCAGTAATTCATTGTATTATAATTAGCTGATACTCTACTACTGTTTAGTCAACGCTAAATAAAATGTTCTCAATTTGAAGGCTTTTACATATCCCATGTCTGGGAACTCCGTGTTTATTAAAGATTCACTCAAAACTAACCCATAAGATTGACTACGAATTATTAGATGCCGAAGCACTATATAAGAACTATAGTGTATATCAGTACTATGAAGTTTATTGCCATAGGAGCCCATACACTAAATACATACTGAACATCTAATGTATGAACTTTTATGTCAAATAGACTTTATTTAAAACATGTGAACATTGCATAAGGACACACAAAGTGTCATTTTTAGATTATATAATTTATGAAACACATAATTATGAAAATACTACAAAGAATTAGTTTGGATTTTCAAATTAGACACTATATTGGTGTTTAGGGTTTTAAAGTAATGAAAGTAAAAATGAAAGAAAGTGCACATTACCTGCACTCTGGACTCAGTCAACCCAATTCTCATGGCTAGCTCTTCCCTCATGAAGATGTCCGGGTAATGAGTTTTACCGAAACTCCTCTCGAGCTCCTGTAGCTGTGCCGGAGTGAAGCGAGTTCTGTGGCGTTTCTGTTTACTCGGTTTGTCTTGATTAGAGTTATTGGTGATACTCTGGTGGTGAGAGTGGCCTTCATTGGTATTACTGTTGGAATGCGAGACACTTATGGCCAGAGCTGACGAGTTATCGGAAGAGGTGCCGGCGATATAGTTGGGAAGTCCGTTGTGGCCATTCTCGCCGAGCAATTGAATTTCGTTGTTGTTATCGTTGGAGTTGTGGTGCTGTTGGTGATGCTGTTGGTGGTGCTGTTGGTGGTGCGGTGTGGAGATGTTGGTGATGTTGGACTTGCCAATGGGACCTGTAGGAGTGGGTGCACCCGAGTGGAAGTTGTTTAACATACTCGGCCACAGCGTCTCCCAGAACGCAGTGGTGGAGGAGCCGGAGTCGTAAATTCTGGAGGCCGTGATTGTGACTGAGTGTCCAATTAAGCACTCAATTAGTTTTGATTCAAATTTAATTTAATTAATTAGTCTTTATTTAATAAACTATTTTATAAATTGAATAATAATTGAAATCTACTTTATCTCATGAAAAGCAGTTTAAAAGTCAACTAAAATGATGTTTAGATGAGAAAAATGAGTGCAAAGATGTATTCTAAACGCCTGTAGTGCAGTGTGCGATATGTGTTGACGGCGTGCGCGCAATACACTCCCAACCAATGAGAAGCACCAACATCTCAATCCTCATATTGTCCATCAAATTGCACCGTCTTGTAGTACTGTACATATATGCACATTATATAGCTTATAAACTGTACTGGTACACATACACTACTACTATATATACGATAACTTTATTTATAAATATGCATTTAAATTATAACTTCATTTATATCGATATAAAAGCTATTACCATACATTTAGTTTAATTGTACATAAATATATACAGTATATATTTATTTATTTAGAGATTAGGTACTCATTTTGCTAAATCATATAATCTATTGTTATTTGTATAAAATAATAAAAAGTATATTTAATTAAATGAACATTTTATATAAACAATATAGCTTTTCATGTAGAAATTGAATCAGTAATACAAAAGATGTGAGTAAACAAGTGTTAAGTGTATGGCACCGATGCTAGCCTGAGGGCAGATGTATGGTCTCGTTGGTGTCAAAAACCTTTTGACGACTAATTGTCGTCTGACCTATATTTCACGAAATCCTCAATCCGTTAATTAAATCTCTTCCACAATAAATTTAATTGAAAAGAGGAAAGGTATATAATTGATTGAGCCATGAGCACAACCTATCAGAACAATACTACATTGTGCTCTCATTTTAATAAAATTCATGTCAAATATTTTTAATATTGATTCCACACGTGCAGCGCCTAATAGCGCGTACATCAGACACGTGCACCTTTGTATGGATTAGACTGATCTGAATGCCATTCCCTATAACTAAGCCCATGTACGATGCCCCGCAACGATTAATGAAATCACTTCCCATAGACTCATCTGTAATGAACGGGAAATAACTTTTATTAGTTTTATCGGCAGTTTTGTGTGTCTTTATTAGAGTCAGAGAGAATACATCCGTTGGAGGGAAACCTGTGGAGACGTCGACGTTATGAGACATTTGAAACATATATTACATTGTAGTCAGTAGTCAACTCTCTCTCTCTCCTCCCTCCTCTCGGTTTAGCATTTAATTGTATTGTTTGACAGCACTGTATGGAAACTAAACATATTTTAATTCAATTCAATTCTTATATATAAATATATTATCCAAGGTATTTAAAATTAATTGAATGGTTTTTATAAATTTCTAAGTGATGAGTTAATAATGAAACAGTAATAATGTTGTTTTGAAAGAGTATAGACTCTATATAGAGTTCGACGCGTATGACATAATATCAAGACATTTGAAATATGTTCATCCGTCCAGTTTTGAACATTTAATTAATTGTAATTTATTTTAAAATATTCTTTGTAAAGATAACTAAGTGTACGATAAAATAAAATATTAAACGACTTCAAATATTCATAAATTTGTTATATGAAAATAGTCTGTCGCAGTGGATCCATAGAATCGCCTAGGAATCGCTACCCATCAAAGGGTACATAGCAAATGTAAAAGTAAAGCAAAATCTTGCATTTGTTTTGCATTGGTATAAATAAGCTACTATTTTTTATATAAAAGTTTTACAGCTATGCTCGGTACCTTATTAAAAATACAGAGACACTGGTCTATCGATAACTATGAATGTATTAAGTTTATAAATAATGTTTCAATATATTTAAACTATTTTAATTCTGGTACACATAGTTGATTTCTATAATTTCTACGATATATATAAGAAATAGAGTGATTTTTAATTAATTAATTTTTTGAATATCGATGACTCCACTGAATTTGTAAGAAGATAATTTAGAGGACTTATAGATTATGACAAATGAAATTTATTGGTAATCGAGTTCACTATAGGTGAGTTTTGTATTTTTGGATTTTGTTCATTAAATTTTGAGCATTAAATTATATTCGCGTTGCATTTAACCTAATATGAAGTGTAGTTTAGTTAGTGGTTCTCCAGAAACGACAGTAGAG